CCTCTCCCAAACCCCAGAATCCCCCGCCCGCCCGCGCCAACCCAACCCAATCCCGCGCCCGGCCTCCCGCACATGCGCGGCAGCAGGCCGGCGACGGCGACGACGACGACGACGCGGCGCCACCGGGGGCGCCGCGCGGGCCGTCCATGAGCAGGAAGGGCGACCGCGCCGACAAGAAGCCGCGCCCGAGATCACCGCGCGGCGGCGGGGGCGACAGGGAGGGCGGCGGCCGGCAGCAGCGGAGGGCGGACGGGGGGATGCGCATCGTGGTGCCGCTGCAGGGGGTGGTGCAGGGCCGCGGCGGGCTCGTCCTCGGCTCCCTCATCCCCTGCGCCCTCTTCTACTTCCTCCAGCTCTACATCAAGCGCAACCGCCCGCCGCCGGGCTCCCCCACCGCGGCCTCCTCCGCGGCGCCGGCGGGCGCCGCGGCCGCGGGCCCGCTCTCGCCGATCCACCGCTCCCTCTCGCGGGGCCTGCTCTCCCCGCGCGCGCTCCCGGCCCTCTCCGCCCGCGGCGCCCTCGTCCGCGCCGGCGACGACGACTCCCTCTACTACGCCGGCCTCCGCCGCTGCGCCGACGACCCCTACCACCCCGCCTCCAACCCCGCCGGCGTCATCCAGCTCGGCCTCGCCGAGAACCACGTCAGCGCCTCTCCTCCCTCCCCCCATTCCTCTTCCCTTCTGCTCTGTTCCCGAAATCAGTAGCCATAGATAGATTGACGCAGTCGGTGCCGATGATTGTGCAGCTGTCCCTGGATTTGGTGAGGGAATGGATGGAGGAGCACGCGGGGCCGGCGATGACGCCCGGCGGAGGCGACGAGGAGAGGGACCTCACCATCAGCGGCCTCGCCACGTACCAGCCATATGACGGGATACTTGCCTTGAAGATGGTAAGCCTAACGGAACCAGCCCCTGATTCTCATTCTCATTCCTTCCATCCCATCCATAAAAGCCTTCCAATTCTGTTAACTATGGCGATGTCAAAATTAAGTGCTACCGGAATCTTACCTTTTCCTGATTCCATCGACAGAAACAGCCAGTTTAACAATTCACTAGTGTTTGATTCCACGCAAAAAAAAAGTAGTGTTTGATTATCATCAAGGTTTCTGCAATCTGCAGTGGTTGGTTCGAACTTGTTTGGTCCATTGAGCGGTATGATAATTAGTTTGATAAATACACTTGAGAATTAACTTATTTGTGTCCATTGAACAATATGATAATTAGCCTGCGTCACGTTGATAAATATATTTGGTATCTTCAGTTTTTGTCTTTCAACTATGCTATCTTTGGCATTAGTAGTACCACTGCTCTGATTTGGTAGCGTGGGCCTAGGCGGTTAGCCACTGTTTTGGATCAGCTCAATCGAACAACAGTGTCCAGTCAATTATTGAACCTACAAATAATCGTAGCAATTCCTCTAGAATTTTGTGTGGTTAAGCCTGGAGCGAGGTACGATTGTTGACGTGATGTTGCGTAATTTGCTTCCTTTCCTCTTTTGAAATTTTGTGGCCATATACATGTTATCTGCATCTAACTGATATGTGCCAAAGAGTCACTATCTCATGTCTGTTTGTTCTTGGTTGTCAATTTTAGTTTTGTTGCTGCAATGATGCCATCTGTCAACTATTGACTTCCAAGACATTGTCATTTTAATCAGCTCATTCCTGAAACGACAATTGATTTTAAAGATTTTCATTTCCATGATCCTGTGTCTTTTTAGCTGCTGTCAACTGTGTGAATCTGAACTGAAGGCATACTTCTAGATAGATCAGACCTTGGCGATTAATCTGGATGATATGCTGCTAAAACAGTGGGCCACTCCCATTTTAGAATTGGAGCTGCCTCTTTGTTTTGCTTATTTTTCTGTTTTTTGTTATGGCCTTTTAGTGGATGCTTTCTATCGAAATCAGTTTAGGAATCTAACCAAGCCATTCTGCATTGTCATGCTTCTATGAAACTTGCCTCTTGACCTCATTTCTGGTGGTTATTTTTCAAGATTAATACTGAAACAACAGCGTACTTTAAAAGGTGCTGTCATGCTGATATATCAGAAAATAAATTTAATGATGAGCCCCTTACGGCATACGTCATGCAGAAATTGTGCTGGGATGTCACTCTGTTTTCCACGTTAATATGTTGTTGCTTGTCCTGTACTATTTGTTAGATGGTCATTAATTTAGTACAAAAAGCTCCCAAGTCTTTATTTGTATAGTTTGAATCTGGCACCAGATAATCAAACTAGTTTCAATGGCTACTTTTTGTTATTCCTCATGGGGTAATTTTCCAATATAACTGTTTGATTTCATTTTCAGGCTCTTGCTGGATTTATGAGGCAAATAATGCAAGAGTCAGTATCCTTTGATCCATCTCAAATGGTGATAACATCTGGTGCGACGCCTGCAATGGAAATACTGAGCTTCTGTCTTGCTGATCCAGGAAATGCATTTCTTGTTCCGTCACCATACTACCCTGGGTATGTCTATCTCCTCGCTCTCAGGCGTGTTTTATAATCATGGTTTGGTGTTCAGAGCGAAGTCCTGAATTTGTGACTTTATTTCTGCAGATGGGACCGGGACATAAAATGGCGAACTGGTATTGAGTTGATACCCGTTCCTTGCCGTAGCACCGACAACTTTAACATCAGTATCACTGCTCTAGAAATAGCCTATAACCAGGCAAAGAAGCGAGGAGTAAGGGTTCGTGGGGTTCTCATATCTAATCCTTCCAACCCTACAGGAAGCTTTGTACCCAAGCAAACACTGCGTGATCTTCTGGACTTTGCTACAGAGAAGAACATACACTTAATTTCTGATGAAGTGTTTGCCGGTTCAACATTTGGAAGTGGTGAATTTGTCAGTGTGGCTGAGGTTGTGAACGAGCTAGAAGACTTTGACAGAGGCAGGGTTCACATAATCTATGGACTCTCAAAAGACCTATCTCTTGCAGGGTTTCGAGTTGGAGTCATATATTCGTATAACGAAAGCATTGTGGAGGCAGCTGCCAAGATTGCCAGATTCTCATCTGTGTCGACCCCGACCCAGCGCCTTCTTGTTGACATGCTTTCGGACCAGAAGTTTATTTCAAATTACCTGAAAGTTAACAGAGAGAGGCTGCGCAAGGCGTACAATCTGCTCGTTGATGCTTTGAAACAGGTGGGCATCGAGTGCTTCAAGAGCAGCGGAGGGTTCTACTGCTGGGCAGACATGAGCAAGTTCATCCGGTCTTACAGCGAGAAAGGGGAACGCAGTCTTTGGGACAGGCTATTGGAGGAGGCGAAGGTCAATGTCACCCCAGGTTCATCTTGCCATTGCATTGAGCCTGGTTGGTTTAGGTGCTGTTTCACAACGTTGAGGGAGCAGGATATTCCTGTGGTGGTGGAAAGGCTTAGGAGGATCACAGATGGCCACAAATCAAACCGCTGAAACGCCTAGAGAACTCCTTTTGGGCCTGTAGGGTGTCAAGAAATAACTGCTTCGCCAGTTGCTTCGCAGAAAACGCAGGAGCACACAGGAAAAAAATGCCTTAACCAGATCTGTTCCAATCAGAGTGATTCCGTCTTGGCATCTACCATTGGTGGAGGTTTGAAACTGACAATTGGTGGAAACAGTCATGTCTTCGGTGGTGGAACAAAGAGCAGGGATCATGTTCGCATCCGTCGTGTCCTCCCTGTTCCTGTTGAATCCAAGCGCGGCAGCTCTTCGGAAGGTTGTAATTGTGTCGATTCTCATCTGCTTCCCCATAGGTGTCACAGGCGGTAAATTGTCCGTCTCATGGTAGGCGTGGGTCAAGTCTTGTGTTCATTCGCCTATTCAATCCTGTCATCCTTTTTTTTTTCTTTTGGCAATTTTGTTCTTTGGTAACATAAGTTAGTGTCGAGGAATTCAGTTTCTTCTGTTCTTGTCATCTGTAAAGTATCCAGTTTGTGAATTCAGGTTCTTTCTCCTCTAGCAATTTTGCTCTTTGGTAACATAAGTTAGTGTTGAGGAATTCAGGTTCTTGTCATCTGTAAAGTATCCAGTTTGTGACGGCGTTCTTGACGCACGCCATTGCGTTGTGTCATCAAAAGTATTTATTTGTTCACTAGGCAGTATGATTTTTCAGTTTTGTTTCTTATAGACTAATGTTCCCAGCAGGAAAGCTCAGTGATGAAATTCACTTAAATTCGTGTAGGCTGTAGTAACCCAGTTCTTTTTTTGACACCGTAGTAACCTACTCCCTCTATTTCAAAATAATTGAAGTTCTAGGATTGTCTAAAATATAAAGTTTGACCAAGTCTATGGAAAAATGGGCTAATATCTACTCCCTCCGTTCAGAATTACTTGTCTCGGAAATGGATGTATCTAGAACTAAAATATGTGTAGATACATCCATTTCTGCGACAAGTAATTCCGAACGGAGGGAGTAAAATATAAAGTATGTATGTAATATGAAAATATATTTTGTAGGCAATTTATTGGTGCAAATTGGGTGTATTCATGACTTAACTACACAAAAGGCAGCAGTTCCAACTCAAAAAAGAAGAAGAAGCAAAATCTAATCTTGTTTGTTCAAATTTTGGGGAATATTCGAATTCTGTTCCCAGGAAAGGGAATACTGCACTTTATCCTCGACTTCATTTGAGGTAAAAAAAATATTTTCTCGAATTTGATACCGCCAAAGCAATTAGATTTTTTTTAGGGGAACATGCTTTACTTTATTGATCAATAGAGCGGATTACAGGAATAATAGAAGTATCATGAGGGTGTAACAGTCATACATGGCGACCCTCCCTTAAATGTAAAGCATGTCTAGCTAAGCCATGAGCTTCCTTGTTGGAAAGACGTCTCTCATGGGTGAAAGAGCAGGACTGAAACTCCCTACTCGAGTCGATGATCTCCTGCACGATTGGGGCAATTGTACCCATAGTTCCCGTGTGTATGTCCTTGACCACCGAAAGGCAATCTGAAGCCACCTTAAAATGAGTCAGTGCGAGATCCCTGGCTAATGCAATGGCCTCGCGACATGCCAGAGCTTCCAATATATTCGAGTCGGTCATACCATGGAATACCACCGCTGCTGATCCAGCATATGCACCTGAATGATCCCGGCAGACCGCGCTAACAGCCCCGATGGGAGGGCGTTTACAAGTGGTTGCATCAACATTTACCTTGTTGTGACCCGCCGGTGGTGGTATCCACTCTTGCACCCGCACTGGGGCTGTCCTGGATTTTGTTATTTCATGTGACAAGGAAGCAATACTCAAGTCTGCCAAGAAGCGTGTGATAAAAGCATGTGTCCCAATTGGGCTTTGGTGCTCTCCTTTGTGGATTAGCTTTCGCCGCGCCGACCATATGGCCCATAGAGTCACAGTTAGCTTTGTGAACTCGACATGTGGCATCGATTCTTGCATACTGAATAGCCAAGCCTTGGCATTCGGTTCCGCTGTTGCAATAACATGCTCAACCAGCTCCGGGTCACCTAGCGCCCATACACAGCGGCACGTTATCAATGAATGCAACCACGAGTCCTCCTCTCCAGAGATAGCACACCGCGACGATGTTGACATATTACGATGAACGAGGACATCCGCCGTGGGTATAGAGCATTGTGCAAGTCTCCATAGGAATACCTTCAGTTTGGAGGGAACCGCCACCTTCCAGAGGTTAGTCCAACTTGCTTCTTCTCTCGATCTATCAGCCGGGTCTGAACGCCCTTCGAGCCATGCCTCCCTCCTTAGCTTCGTGTTGATGAGCATCCGATATGCCGAGCGGACAGAGAAGGAGCCCTTGTGCTTGTATGCCCATGCCGAGGAATCTCTGCATTTTCTAGTAGCTAGCGGGATATTGAGAATCACGGCCGCGTCTATTGGGAGAAAGGTTGCACGGACCATGTCCTGCTTCCACCTGGCGTTGGAGCTGTCGATCAGTTCGGACACAAACTGTGGCCTATGTTGGCTCAAGCAAACAATTGGCCTGAGCGACGCCTCTTTCTGTACCCAGTTATGCCGCCATACCAAAGTATCTCTGCCGTCGCCAATGCGTTTGATGAGTCCCTGCGAGAGGATCTCCTTGCCCTCTATAATTGCCCTCCATATTTGAGATGGCTGGCTACCCAGTGAAGCATCAAGAAAATCTGTAGTTGGTAAGTAGCGCGCCTTCAAGATTTTTGCACTTAGTGTCTCTGTTGTTTGCAGGATTCTCCACGCCTGTCTTGCAAGCAGAGCAAAACAGTTCAATATCCCTAAAACCCAGACCTCCTTCATATTTTGGCCTTGTCATCTTCTCCCAGGAGACCCAATTTGTCTTTCTTTCACCACGTTTACTCCCCCACTAAAACTTACGTATGATGGAATTAATGTGAAGACAGAGGCCCCGAGGTAGCTTGAAACAAGTCATAGAGTAGACCGGGATGGATTGAGCTACAGACTTTATAAGTACCTCTTTCCCTCCGGATGACATCACCTTTTCCATCCATCCCTTAATTTTGCTCCAGACTCTGTCCTTCAAATATTTGAAGGCTCCATTTTTGCTGCTCCCAACATCCGTAGGCATGCCCAAGTACTTTTCTGAAAGATTCTTATTGTGAACATTCAAGGTATTTTTCATGCTCTCTTTAATACTTTGCGAGCAGCCCTTGCTAAAGAACCCTGAAGATTTATCCAAGCAATTAGATACCGCCAATCCAAACACGCGACCCATAAAGCGTGGGCGGCCCAGCAGCCCAAACCCACGAGACCCAGGCTCGCAGACCGCCTCCCCCCCACTCCGCTCGCTTCCAGACTCGTCCCCGCTCCTCTTCCCCGCCGATTCGTCCCGCCGGCCGCCGCCCCTTCCACTCCGCCGCGCCGCCATGGTAAGCAGCCAATCCCCAGATCCCTACCATACCATCCCCTCTCGTCCTCTTCTCCCTGACCTAGGCTCTAATTCCGTTTCCTCCCCCTCTCCCCCCAAACCCGCAGTCGGTGACGCTGCACACGAACCTGGGGGACATCAAGGTGGAGGTGCACTGCGACCAGGTGCCGCGGACGGCGGAGAACTTCCTGGCCCTCTGCGCCAGCGGCTACTACGACGGCACCGTCTTCCACCGCAACATCAAGGGGTTCATGGTGCAGGGCGGCGACCCGACGGGGACGGGCAAGGGGGGCGCGTCCATCTGGGGCGGCAAGTTCGCGGACGAGTTCCGGGAGGCGCTCAAGCACGGCGCCCGGGGCACCCTCTCCATGGCCAACTCCGGGCCCAACACCAACGGCAGCCAGTTCTTCATCACCTACGCCAAGCAGCCCCACCTCAACGGCCACTACACCGTGTTCGCCAAGGTCATCCACGGCTTCGAGGTGCTGGACCTCATGGAGAAGACCCCCACCGGCCCAGCCGACCGCCCCCTCGCCGAGATCCGCCTCAACCGCGTCACCGTCCACGCCAACCCGCTCGCCGGGTAGCGCGATGCTTCTTGGTGCCTGACTGGTGATTCGCTCCTCGATCTCTTTGCTTGTGTTGCTAATTTAGGTACTGGAATCGATTTTACCCGTCCGGTTCTGTAATATCATCCTCGTTTGGTTATCTGAATTCTACCTGCCTGCAAGAACATGACACTGATGATACAACATACTGGATGTGGTGGCTCAGGAAGAATGTCGCCTTTGCTGATCTGCAGGCTTTGCCATTCCTCTTGCTGCTTGCTACTTATAATTTGCGATGTTTGAACGAGCGAATGGAATTTACATGTTTCAGCTGTGAGATGGCTTGTCACCTGAATTTAGTTGCCTGAATTTTACCTACCCGCAAGAACATGATAGTGTACTGGCTATATTGACTGATTATACCTCGAGTGTTTGGTTAAATGCTTCGCTGGCTGATGATACTGCAAGTGTCTGGTTAATTGTTCTGCTGCTGGCTTGTGATTGTTCATGCCTTCTTTCCCGATCTGCAGGCTTTGCCATTCGTCTTGCTGCTTGCTACTTGTAATTTGCGATGTTTGAACGAGCGAATGGAATGCAAGAATTTCTGTCATCAGTAGTGGAATTTACACGATTCAGCTGTGAGAGGTTTTGTCACCTGAATTTGGTTGCCTGAATATAACTACCTGCCTGCAAGAACATGATACAGGTGTGGTGGTCACTGATTATGCTGCAAATGTTTGGTTAAATGCTTTGGTGGCTTGCGATGTGATTGTGTGTTCATCCACCTGACGAACACACACGATTCGCTGTCAATCAATTCCAGAATTTACTTGGTTAAACTATGAGTGTTTGTGGCCTTGAACTGTGTTTTTGTGTTTGTGACCTGTTCTCATGTACACCGGCATTACCGCCGCCATTAGCAGAAATGCAGAATCCAAGTTGATAATGGTTGTGAGAAAACTGACAAGGATTTGTTTTGTGTTGAATACTGGGAGGGGATGGCTTGGATTCAAACCTCAGATTTCAAGTAAAAGCGATCTAATTAAGCACCCCGTCACTTAAAACTAATAGAGGGTCTCTTTAAATAAGAAACTTCTTCAGGTCGATCAGCCCAATTATTATACAGATAATCTTAATTTGGTGATGACTGTGGCAAACTAGGGATGTGACTATCTTAATTTGGCGATGGCTGCGCCAACTAGGGATGTGACTTCAGAGAAAATCCAGACAAATCACTGGCAGATTTCTTTGCCATCTCAGAAGGCTCTCGTTGGCAGGTTTTTCAGATTTCTAGGAGTCTTCATAGCATTGCCCATAATGTTGCTCACTCCGTTTCGAAAAAAAATTAATAATGTTGCTCACCATCTTCTGAACAGTTCAGTTCAACCTGTCCTTGGCTGTTCCAATTTAGTTCATTGGCACACTCATTGGCCTGTTCTTTCTCTGTAATCTCTTCAAGCTCTACAGCGATGTGTAAATCACGCTATACTGTGTTTTTTTAACTGAATGAAATGAAATTTGGCGACTTGAGCGCCTTTTCCCGTTCAAAAAAAGAGGCAGAGAGGACATTACTTGCAACTTCATCCAATCTATGCTTTTGAAAGAGATATATGAATCATAATATATCGGCACAGGTAGACTTTGGGTAATGCCATAAATACATACTGGAATCATATATCAGCAAAAGCAAACTATTCCATTCCCAGGGTTACAACTAAAGCTGCAAAACTTGCCCGGCACTCAGTTCAAGCAAGCGAAGCCACTACTGAAGCTGGACACTACAGGTATGCGAGCCAATCAGGCCGTTCGCTTGTCCTAAGTCCAGTCTCTTGCCAGGCAAGCACTGCACAAATAGCAGAAACGGTTTAACGATATGAAATCTTCGACAGTGAAAAGAAGGCAGATGCGGCGGACATCCATTGCACGTTTCTGGTTCTTCAACGGTTCAAATGAGGAAGTATCTATCAGCTGCAAATTGCTGTCAAATGCTCTTGCATTTATTCCCCTTAACATGGCATCGCACTTGCCATCTGCATTATTCTCTAACAAGCCCTGGTAATAGAGGGAAATGGTTCTTAGATAAAACAACTCAAAAGAAGTACTCCCTCCGGTCCTTTTTAGTCTGCATATAAGTTTTGTCTGAAGTCAAAGCATCTCTACTTTGACCGAATTTATAGAAAAAAGTATTAACATTTACGATGCCAAATCAATTTTGTTAGATTCATCACAAAATGTAGTTTCATGGGATATATATTTGGTATGGTAGATATTGATATTTTTTAATATATATTTGGTCAAACTTTGCAAAGTTTGACTTGACTCAAATCTAATATGCAGAGTAAGAAGAACCGGAGGGAGTACTAAACTGAAACAAACTGAGGAATAGAAAGCATGTGTCTCTAAGCCTCTCTGTTTCTACACGAAGCCAGAAATGTATACAACTGAAATATACTACTACCTCTGTTCCAAACGTATGTAGTCCGTACTGAAATCTCTAAAAAAAATTATATTTTGGAACAGAGGGAGTAAATGGGAACGAGGATGTTAACTCACCATAATACAAAGTTTTTCATGAATACTTTTATGTGATACAAACAGCTACTTTTGGAGTGTCACTAAAAATCACTATGCTGATCGCTGAAGAGCGTCCAATTTGATTGAAATGCTCACGGATCCAACTCTTATTTGCAAACGGCACAAACATGTTTCTGAAGTTATCTACGCAATTAAACATGCATCTGCAGTACAAGACCAGAAAATTACTGACCATAAACATTAGCATGGCATCTAAACTCATATATATCATTGCGACCATTTAGTGTCGACCTATCAATTTGCATGGTATGCAAGACATCATAAGTAAAATTTACATTCAATAAGTTTGATTTATTAGTACGACCCAGCTGTTACAAGATGCCACTAGGTAGAAGCTTAACATTATTAGGCTAGAAAATATGTTTCTGATGTAGTGTATGTCTCAGCCGTCCATGCCTAAAAGTTGATGTATGAGGCTGGTTCGGTTACTGTGCTTGCCACGTGGAAAGCCAGAGTCGGTTACAGTTGCAAATAAAAGCATGGTTATTGGGTCATTCTGAATATGATGACGCAGCATTTTTGGGGGTCTAATTTACAAACATCAGGATCAATAGTATGATCCGAAATCTCTAATTGCAAGTGCATCGTGAGATAAAAACAAATAAATTTAAGAATAAGCCACTACGGTCAATTTACCGCACAAATCACAGCCATTCCACCGCAAATGGCGCCAGGCATGATAGCTTGGTGACATGGCCAAACCATAGAACAAAAATTTAACATGCTGCGTCATGCAACCTCAGCTGAACTGTGATTCTCATCAGCCAAATGCGAGAATTCATTACACATGATGCATGCTGCACATCCCAACAGAATTAAAAAATGCTGCGAAGTGACAGTTTTTTGGAAAAATAGTGGTGTTTACTGCTACTAATGCTGTAACACTTGGTGCTTTATGCAATCTGATGAATGGATCCCAGCACAAACTAACTAACTAAAGCCATCAATGGTCAAGGAGAAGAACGTGGCATGCTGAGGAGAAGGAACTAGCAGAAGCAAATGGTTCAATAAGTAGCTAAAAACGGAGAAAATATATAGTTTTAAATGTGCAAGGGAAAAAAGGACTCAAGGGAAAGTAGCTAACGCATGTCAAATCCAGCCTAACTCGCGCATACTGTGATGCTGATTACTATTTCAGTAGTATTTCTGTATGACACTGAAAATGAGGACAGTCATATTCACAAGATGAGAAACAAAGGCTTCTTGCTCATCCTGAAATTCACAGATTTGGAATTGCACAGATGTACTAACCATTAGAATAGCACCTAAACACTTACAAGCAATAAGAATGAGAATTATAAGGGTGAAAAGTAACTTGGCCGCATCAGCGTTAATACAGGACCATTTGCCAAAGTAGAGAATGCTAATGTACACACTACCATATAACTAACACTTGCATCATATTGCAATTGCAATGTCATATGCATGGAAATAAAGTAATTAAAGACGGAGGGCAAGCTTACCACTTCAAATAGTTGGCGGGGCCAAGGACAGTGGGAGATCGGCATACAGGTCGCTAGTTATGGCACAGCGACCAGTCTGACAGAACCACTCAATCTGAAATGTCTGGAGATTCAGTGAAAAATAATCAAGTACTAGCCTGTTCTGTTGTGGATACCCAATTAGGAGCAAGTATCCACCAGCTACACCCAAGATGCTATAGCGATAATTCACCGGCAAAGGGATTGCGGACTTTGATTGCCACTGGTTTGCGCCATTCTCATCCTTAGGATGCAATACATCATACACGAGATGGTATTTGTACACACCAGCTTCAGTATGCTCAGAGATAGTAAGCATCCCAAGCCTTGCTTCTGCTGCCTCCACAATGGCCATGTCCCACTTACAAGAGCCAAGTGGAGGCGGGAGGTCAACAGGGGAGAACTCCAGCCTTTGTGCATCGAGCACGAGCAGCGTGTCTTCCGGACAAACCTGCAAGCAGAAGCATCCATGGGCGTAGTAGGGTCTGACATCAAACATCCCAACATGTCAAATGTGATAGGATCAGCGAGCCATTGCCCGGCGCAGGAAGAGAAGACGAAGAGGACAAGCTTGGCTGTGCACCGCACCAAGCACATGACTCTGAAGTCTGTGAATGACGAGTCCTCTTCGTCGCCGGGAGGAGCAAGGAAGGGCTCGCAATGTATGATGTCCGGTCGATGGACTTGGTCGGCTAGATGGTCGGGGAGGGCAGGCAGCAGGAGGTACCGGCGGTGCAGGGGGTCGCAGACAGCGAACTCCCTAACCAGGTCCCGGCGGTTGTAGTCGCCGCCGGTCCGCTCGGGGGCGGGGGAGAAAAGGGCGCGGCCGTCGCGGGACGGCGGGAGGAAGGAGCAGGAGAAGTCGGCGTCGGCTAAGGTGGCCGCCGCCGCGGCGGAAGGGTGGGGCGGCTGGGCGGGGATGAGGCCGCCGCAGAGGATGCCGAGGAGGGGCGGCGGGTGGAGGGCGCGGAATCGGCGGAGGAAGGGATGGCTGGTGATGACGCGGCGGAAGGAGACGCAGGCCGCGGAGGCGCGCGCGAGGTCGGCGGCCGTGGGGAGGCGGCGGAAGATCTCTTCGAGGAGTTCATCTGGGAGCGCCATTAGAGTAGGGCAGAGGACGAGGATGGGAACCAGCAACGAGCAGACGATGGGGGATGACAATGAGAGCAAGGTTCCCAATCCTCACTGGTATTTGTGTATATGCAGTACGTATCAGACAATATACGATTGGTTTACGGATTTGCTATTTTACAGTCAGCTGCTTTTTCAATTCATCGTCATTCGAATTTCTGTCCGTCCATTCTCGCGCGGAGATTCGCGCTGGTTTTCTTTTTTTTTCTTCGCGCTGGCACTCTGTTCGCTCAGTTTGGTTTGCTGTTGTGGGTTCGGTTTTCTTTATCTCAACTCGAAACCGTCCCGTCGCGGTACTATTGGTTTTTGTCGTGCTTGAATTTCGGAGTGGGTGTTGTCTCCCTTTTCATTTGGGTCGCTCTGTTTCGATAAGGCCGGGGGAGAGAGCTCGAGCGGCGAAGGAGAGAGGCGATTCCGAGCTATTTCACTGTTCGATTTTGATTTTGTCCTCCCTATTCTCTTCGCCTCCGGTTGCCGAGATTGGTTCCCCTAATCCCCTGCCGGTCCCGGGTGTTTTTGCTTGTGCTCTGGTCGTGTAGTTCCAAATCTAGTTGAGTTTTCGTCTTCATGGATGTCTATTTGTTGTTCTTCATGGATCCGCCCAATTTCGCCCCCCCCCTCCCTTTTGTGCTCGCCTGCGTTGTGAGGAGCTTTTGTAGTTGCGGGTTCTAGGGTTTTCGTTTTGCTGTGTAGATGTGGATGTAGGCTTTTATATTTGTTTTATTTTGTGTTGTAGATGGTGGAGGTAGGCGTACTGCTTGTTGCAGCGGGTGATTTCCTGTTTTCTGCTAGCTTGGGGTGTATGTTCCCTTGTCGTTAGGTGACAGTTGGGGATGATCTGGCCTGCTTTTTTGTAGTTGTAGGTGGCTGCTTATGATTTTCCCCTGGTAGCTGAGGCATGTCTGAATGTGTTCCAGCAAGCTCTCTGAATTTGATGCTTCTATTATTGTGTAATTTTACCCCCCGAGACTTGTAATGTAGCTCAAAAATACAGTGGATCATACCCCCAGAATTACAGTGTAACTACTGTGTAATAGGTTTGCAGAACCTCACTGTCCCATCTTTTGCAGTCTAATTCTGCCATTTTCACAGTGCAATTATCATGCTTTACAGTGTAATTCTCCCATATCTATAATTACTGTGTGATTCTCCCAAATACTGTGTTATTTATTGTTTAATTACAGTGTTATTTGTGCTAGCAGTACTGTGTAATTTCCCCCCTAATTCCAGTGTATATTCTTGATTACAGTGTATATTCCCAGATATGCAAGATTTTTCAATGTATTTATGCCAGGAATCACTGTGTAATTTGTCCTAGTATGTCCACAGGAATTTAGCCCAATTACTCATGTACTGTGTATATGCAGATTTTTCAGTATATTATGCCTGGAATCACTGTGTAATTCGTCCTATTTATGTTCACAGTAATTTAGCTCAATTACTCATGTAATTTACAGTGTATTCGCCCAGATTTACAGTGTTTTTATGCCCTGGAATCACTATGTATACGCCCAGATCACTGTGTAGTTTACTTTGTAAATTTAGCCCAACCACTCATGTAATTACAGTGTATTTCCATATAGTTTTACACTGTAATTTGTATGGTTACAATGTAATTCCGTAGAGTTTTTCACTGTAATTTGTATGGTTTGAGGACTGTAATTTTTGTATGACTTACAATGCAATTCACCAGAGTTTTACATTGTATTTCCCTAGACTTCATTGTAAATTTGTATGTTTGAGGACTGTAATTTCAGTATGACTTACAATGTAATTCATCAGAATTTTACACTATATTTCCCTAGAGTAATTTCAGTATGACTTACAATGTAACTCATCAGAATTTTACACTGTATTTGCCTAGAGGACTTTAATTTCAGTATGACTTACAATGTAATTCATCAGACTTTTACACTGTATTTTCTGTAGAGTATTACACTGTAATTTGTGTGCTTGAGGACTGTAATTACAGTATGACTTATTATGTATTTCTCCAGAGTCTTACAGTGTCTATGCGTTTAATATTCAGTTGTCTAGTTTGTGGTTTTGTAGCTTCTAGATCTAGGTCTGGGGATTGTTGGTTGTAGTGTTTGCGTTGGTTCTGGTTTATTTGCCTAATGATTTTTGCCTTTGTGATTTTAGGTTTGGTTCAATGCGGAAAGTTTCTCACAAGGATGTACCACTAGTCTCTTCTCTTGAGAGTGCAGATTCTCTGAATGATCTGTTTGTGCCTAATGATCTTGCAGATGATGGTTCTAATCCTATGTCTTTGGTATTTATTTCTTTTTCTTCCCTAGTTTTAATTAATTTGAATTATTTCTTTTCATTTTTAATTTTATGTGTATGTTCACTTTAATTTTATTTCAGGAAATCTCTAGTGATGATGGAGGGCTTGACAAATCTCAAGTAAATTCTTTTTCATTTACGTGTATGTTCACTGTAACTTTATTTGTTTCTTGGGAGGCAAGTTCAAGCAAAGATGTTTAACTGCTCTTTTGCTTCTACTTTTTGTTGTCAGGTGTGGTCAGCGAAGCTGGAGGGAGGGATTGCATGGGGTTCTCTTGCTCTTTTGGTTTAGTTGACAACCGCGTCTTCTTTTTTTAGTCCGACCCGTTTAGTGGGAACGAGCAGTATCAGTGGTTTTGGGCAATAAAGATTTCAACAGGACATTGGTCAGAAAATTTGAATGATATCCAATTGGAAATCATTCAAATGTCAAATAGACAGTCCCGTTGGTTTATATTGCGCACTAATATCTGACATGATCACATGTCGATATTAGGGATATAATTAAATGGTTTGCATTGGGGACAATAAGACTTGAATCCTGATAAATCCATGATAAATGCGAGCAGTAGGACTTGAATCCTGATGGATTGGGATACCACTGTCCACCTAACCATGCAACCACATGTTGGCTCATATTATTAACCTTATTTAGCTCTAAATATAGGGACAAACATGGTGAACGGGTGAGATGTGTTGGATCTCCAGAAGTCGCTCTTTTTATATCAGTATAATTTAGCCTCGTATACCTACTCAAATTTCAACTTCTTAAATTTAAGGAGTTAAAAAATGTACTCCCTTCATCCTAAAATGTAAGACCTTTTTGGTATTATACTAGTGTATAAAACGTCTTACATTTTAGGACAGAGGGAGTAGTTTTTATCCGAACTCTTAAACTTAATTCCGTAAAAACAAATCACACAAATTCGATTCAACCTACATTCCATAACATTAATTTAAATATAGATAGCACAATTCGATTCAAACTACATTGTATAACATGAATTTAAACAAATCAATTCAAAAAAAATAATATAATCTTCTCCCTTCATGATCATCGCCCAATCCTCAATGTTCTCGAAGTCGGAGTCGCTGGAGCAATGGTCGATGACCTTCACACCAGACGGTCTGGCCCCGTAGGCACCATTCTTCCACTACTCGAGGACCTGTCGCACCTCAGGGACGAGCTCCGGATGATTCTGGTGGAGCTCGACCATGTATGCCTCGTCGGCGCGCGCCGTGTCGATCCGCTCGAAGACCTGTCGTATAGTGCATGGGTGATTTTTTAGGTTTTCTTTTTGGTTTTTTCGTGTTTGGTTTGGGGCAGGAAAGCGGCAGCATTGCCTCGTGGTAGGACTAGTGTACTCCTCCCATTCCGCTGGTGTGTTTTTTCTGCCGATTGAGGGCATGTGGAGTTGTCTCTCAGGCGGGTCTCCTATGATACAATCGGTTGAGATTTTCGGTGGATCCGTCTGGATTTTCTCCAGGTTGGCAATTTACTTCACAAATCACGGCCACTGGTGTCTCCTGGTCTGCATTGATGACTTTCGGGTCGCTGCTTCTACATGCTCCCAGCCCATAGGCAGAATCGAGCTATGCTCATGTCGCGCAATGCGGTGAATGTAGGAGGAAGAAGACTTTCACACTCTCAAGATTTTGAATGTATTTATATTTTTTGTATGGGTATGTTTGTAAGGACCTATGATACTTAATATATGGTCTTATGCCTCTTTGCAAAAAAGTTATTATTTATTCCAAGAATGAAAAATACCACTCTATAAAATAATATACTATAGAATGTGCAAAGCTATTAAGGTTGACTTGGGGTACAAATGAAGTTTTGTTAGTATTGCAGAATATATTGTAGAATGAGGAAAGCTATTAAGGTTGACTTGTGGTACAAATAATGTTTTGTTAGTATTGCAGAATTTATCATTGATCTAGGAAACTTGTACCTCCTTGAATCGATACTCTATTCTCATTCGAAACTTCTTGGTACAAACTCATGCACTCGGGGCCCCAACTAACTTACATCATATATACTCTACCACGAGTGAAATCAACTGAATTCGAGGAACTTCA